ACTAAACCATGGAAACAGCTGCTGGTTGGCTCAGCAAACCTAAAACAACTCCACCTCCAAAGTCTTTACAGATCTGTGGACCCAAATTGTTTAGCTATGGAAAATGACCTACATAATTATTGGTCTCAAATTTTAATGTAAACTGAAGACAGGCACTCATCTTCTTTCTTTTTATTAATGTAACATTGTTTGTCTCCACACTTGGCTGACTTTGCATACCATTGCACATAAATAAAGGATTGTGGGTAGATTACAAATCTATCCACCTGACAAAGGGCTAACACCCAGAATCTACAAAGAACTTAAACGAATTTACAAGAAAAACTCAAATAACCCCATCAAAATTGGGTGAAGGATATGAACAGACACCTTTCAAAAGAAGACATTTATGCAACCAACAAACATACAAAAAAAAAAAACTCATTGTTACTGATTATTAGAGAAATGCAAATCAAAACTGCATTGAGATACCATCTCACGCCAGTTAGAATGGCCATCGTTAAAATATATGGAGGCAACAGATGCTGGAGAGGATGTGGAGAAATAGGAACAGTTTGACACTGTTTGTGGCAGTGCAAATTAGTTCAACCATTGTGGAAGACAGTGTGGGGATTCCTCAAGGACCTAGAAATAGAAATACCATTTGACTCAGCAATCCCATTACTGGGTATATACCCAAAGGATTATAAATCATTCTATTATAAAGACACATGCACACATATGTTCAGTGCAGCACAGTTTACAATAGCAAAGACTTAGAACCAACCCAAATGCCCATCAGTGATGACTGGACAAAGAAAATGTGGCACATAAACACCATGGAATACTATGCAGCCATAAGAAATGATGAGTTCATGTCCTTTGCAGGGACATGGATGAAGCTGGAAACTGTCATTCTCAGCAAACTAACACAAGAACAGAAAAACATATTCTCACTCATAAGTGAGTGTTGAACAATGAGAACACATGGACATAGGGAGGGGAACATCACACATTGGGCCTGTTGGAGTGTGGGAGAGCTAGGGAAGGTATAGCAGGGTGTGGGGGATTAGAGAGGAGGATTACCTAATGTAGATGATGGCGGGGATGGAGGCAGCAAACCACCATGGCCCGTGTATACCTATGTAACAATCCTGCACGATTCGCGCATGTACCTCAGAACTTAAAGTATAATAAAATAAATAATTAAAGTAATGTGTGTAATATAGATACTGTTTGAATTTATTTTGTACTTTATAAAATATACATAAAATGTAATTTTAAAGGAATAAATTATTTAAAAATTTTATATCAAAAGTGTTCTTCTCTGCCCGATGGATGATTCTACATGGTACCTGGATTTTACGAAATCCACATTGGAGACTATTTGCTTAAAGGAATTATTAAAAACCAATATTTCTTAATTGCCAAAAGGCAGCACATTTAAATTATGAATTAGCTATGCTTTCTGCAAATCAAGAAAACACTTATGAATTTGCATGGGTTTACTCTTTAAACAAATCTCACATTTAAACTTGTTGAGAATTTGTACTTTCTTAAATATAGGACTTAGGTTGGATCTTTATAAAAGTAGAATATTGTTCATTTTCTACTTAAAAGTTAAGGCCCTTTTAATTAATGTTCTAGTCTTTCAAAGAGTACAAAATGTATTTTCATAAAACATTAAAATCTATGCTCTTTTGATTTTGAAATATACTCACAATATCAGATGTAAGAAACAAGAAACTACAAAAAAGTAGGCAGAAACCATGATGAGAACTGCAAATTCGCTTGCAAGTATGTGCGGTATTTCCATGTTTCAAGCGCCAAATAGAATTTAATTTGTCTTATAAACCTGCAGTTTGAAGTAACGTGATTTCTTACACTGTACTGCGTGGCAGCAGCCGCACACTAAATGTTCTTTTAGGTGAAGATGCTTCAAATTGCATCTTATGATTCATATTCTCATTCCTGGATTACTTTTAATCATGGCCTTTTCCTTAACTAAATTCTAGCCATTGTTCAAGTTCTAGTGCCAGACTCCCTTCCCTTTGAAGCCTTCTGAGATCATTCTATTCAAAGATGAGTCCTCACTTTCCTAAACACATGGATTCCATTAAGTAGATGTTCACCCCCAAAATTACTCATTATTGTCTTTTGGTATCACATACGGGGACTTCAGCAATACTTAGCTTTATAACACATGAGGGATTTCATTTCCGCTTGCATGTTGTTATCTCAAGAACAGGTTGTCCCTCTTTTCATTGCTAAGAATCACTAATTGACAAGAACTAGTGCAATAATCTCTTCATAGTGAGATTTCCTTCACTTCTTGTTGATTGGATCAGTCATCGATTATATTTCAGCACGTGAAAGATCAAATGGCATCAGACGTGTATGAATTATTAAATTATTAAATATATGTAATAAAGAAATATGAATGTTTACAATCAACACAAAATCATGGGTCATATAGTAAGGAATGTAGATGTGAAATTGAAATATGAGGAAAAGCTAGACTGTCTCTGCTGTTAAAACGTATAATCGCCGGGCACAGTGACCCTCACCTATAATCCCAGCACTTTGGGAGGCCGAGGTCAAGAGATCGAGACCATCCTGGTCAACATGGTGAAAACCTGTCTCTACTAAAAATACAAAAAATTAGCTGGGCATGGTGGGGCGTGCCTGTAATCCCAGCCACTCAGGAGGCTGAGGCAGGAGAATTGCCTGAACCCAGGAGGCGGAGGAGCTACAGCTTCATAACATGCAGCCTGTGTGCTGGCGTAATCACATCTTGAGTCTGCGCAACTGAATCCCCACCTCTGCATGAAGTCATGCACACTCTTCCCTCTCCATTGCCCCACAGAACCCTCCTGTCACCTCTCTCTGGGAGACACTGCTTCAAAGAATACCACAGGTGCTCTCCTTCCTTGCAACAAGTAATAAAACTATTGATCAAAACCTGCATTCTCCTGGAGAGTCATTTGGTACTTGCCAGGTAAATAAACCCTGTCTTTTTTTGCGGGGGGTGAGTAACACGTTGACTATGATATCATTTCCAGCAATGTAGTATGTAGCATGTAGAATGAGATTTAAACTTAGAATCAGGAGTTCCAAATTACATGATGGCTCCATTTTAAGGAAGTAACTACTTGGTATTTCAGAAAACCTTCCAACTTCCTCTAATGCAGAGTGACAGTTAGGCTAAGTGACCTCACTGGCTTCTGTCCACCTAAGTGGTCTCAGACGGTACATTTCCGGGGAGCTTTTTGACTTCTGTTTATCTCCAGTGCAATTTGATCATCTTTAGCACATCTTAGAGTTCTGTGTTCCACATGTGGATAACTGTGGCCCAGTACTTTGAGACATTTTTACTCCCTACTAGAGACAGAGTCTAAAATGGTATAGATTCTGAACAGGCTCCTTAAAAGAGAACAAAAAGCTACTACCTAAAAGTAAGGATCAGAATATGACAGTATCACCATTATAAATGAATTTCTGAATCTTAACAGATTTGAGAAATATCTCAAATCAATACATCAAAACAATTTTGTTTACAGAAAGGTCTTGTAAATTCCAGCCTCTGAAATCCAAAATAAATCAATTGTTAAAATAGTATTTGGCCAGTGTCCAGTCTCTCTCAAGTGAATCTCGTGAATCTCGTGTGACCCATATGTATCTCATTCACACAAATATCCACTCCGGTTCAATGAGTGCCTTACTACTCAAGACATAAGGTTACATAGTAAATAGAAGACTTACTATATTTAAAATTAAGTACGCAATTAAAACCAGAAATGATACAATGAAAATTTTAAATACAAAGCTTCTAGATCATTAATTCAATTTTTAAAAATGTATGAACCAGTAAGTGCTAAGTTAAAAAGATGAATAAGGTGTACATTCTGACCTTATAGTATTTAGTGCAGCACGTGAGAAAGGTTTTTAAACAGAAAACTGCATTGTAATTTGACAAATGTTAGCATAGAAATATGTTTAAAATGTTATCATGCTTGAAGTATTAAGAGTAGAAACATAAGAACAGAACTATAAAAGCAATTTATTAGTTTTCTGAAAAACCTTATATTTACATCCTGAACTTTGTATCAACTGTGACAAATATTTTCAAATAGATACGTTTGCAATTGCTTAGAAGAAAATAAGGAGTTACTTTCCACAAATTCGTGCAAGAATTGTAAACACGTGACATTTCACTAAAAAGCAGTCTTCACACGGTTAAGAACTGAAGTTTTCCCCGGGTTTGATTTTAACACTACCAGAGGTAATCCAGTTACCGCTGGTTTTTGTTGGGTTATTTATATACAACAAAAAATAATTTAAAGCTTCTAAACAAATATAAAACATTTTTAAGCTGCGTGTATTAGCATTTTGCCTGAAAAATAAAAAAAAACAATGCTTTGAATGTCACGTATTTAGTTAAGAAAAGAAACAGTGTTTCTCCTTAAGATGGAGGGTTATTTTCCCTGAGGCCCCACGTCCACGCACTATTGACCTGCACACTTGAATGCTCTTTAACATGAAAGAGTAATGTGTCACTTTAACTCATGCTGAAATATGATGACTGCTCTACAGAGAATCTAGACTGCTGTGTATTCATACTTAAATAACATGAATTGCTTAAATAATATCAGAATCATAAAATCATGGAATTTTAGGGCTGAAAAGAAGCTTAGATGTCTTCTAATTTATTACAGTTTACATGAAAAGAATTCTTTCCAAAACTTCCACTACCTGAAAAGTGCAGAGTTAATGGAGAGGAGCATCTCAATTATATTCAATATGCTCCAGTCTTCCTAAAGAAAGAGTTAAAAGTCTGAGGCTGTCCAAGCCGTTAGGTTTTCTATCTTTGCAGAAGGAGAATGTAATCTGGAAGGAAAAAAGCCCAGCCCACACTCTCCGTCTTCCACCAAAAGCAGAGTTTCCCCTGTGTAAACTGGAGCCAAGTTTTCCTGCTTATGTTCTGTTTTCCCTGTTTGAGAAGCAGAAAGCCCCGTACTCACCTCCTCACAGGCGGTTCTGAAATCCATGTGCTATGGCACCGCAAAGGATGTCCTCTGAAAAGACACAGAAATGGTAATCCATTAGGCACAGCGTGGCGTGTAAAGGGCACACTAATATAGTGTAGGAAATCGTGAAGCAGATCTCATGGGAAAATTGTGTATACAACCAGCTGTAAGGAACAATAATATACTAAAGAGAGGGACATGGAGAGATGACAAAAAGTCTTAATCCCCAGCTTTTTGGAAGTATAAACATCCTGCCATTGTTCGGCATGATGAAGAGCATGCATTTCCAGGCACCTCTGCACCCCGTCAGCAGGTGTTCAGACTCCACGTACCATCAGATCAATCTCTCCTTGCAGGTGATAGCTCATTCCCAACATGCATTGTGAAACCTGAGTTTGCAACTGGGAAAGAAACTTCAAAAAGAGTAATTAAAGGTTGTCTTTAATGTGGTTATCTCATAAAAAAGGTTGACTAATCTTTCTCCTTTTAATTAAAAAGCTACATGCATGAATAATTCTCTCTGGAACTTAACATTTTATTCACAACAATATGATGTAAGGAAGCAAGCTATTTGTCAGCGTGAATAATACTAAAAATAATCAATGTGTGAAATAGCTAAAACAGATTTGCTGATGGTCACTATGGTACGTAAATGAGGAATGTGGATCTAAATACATGTAAATGTTTTTGTGAAATTCTTCTAGAGTGCTCTGTTTTCATTACTTGATACACCTAACAAAACTAGCATTTGGCACAAAAAGTTGACACCAAGACACTATAAAACAAAGCAATGCAGAGCCAAAATATAATGGCTAAGGAAATGAGACGTCAAAGAAAGATGGATGATCGTTTCCTGAATGGAAGACTCTACACCACTCAAAGTTACTCCATCTCTCAGCCTTTGGAAGAGTAAACTATAGCATCCTTCTTTGACAATTCCTTTTTAATTATATACTATTGATGAATGTTTGATCAGGTTAAGTGTGGTAAAACAGAGTAGGAGTTATCACCATGCTGTCACTGAACTGATTTACTATTGACTTTGAAAGAATAGAGATTAGCCATCAACAGTAGTAACCAAACACATCCTATAATCTATTAAGTATTTTCCCTAGGTAAATCTTGTGAACTGTGGCCTCATTAGTATTAAGGAATTTTTTATTACTAACTTAGTTATGCTTCAAAATTGCTCTTAAAGATTTCATTTGAAGAACTTGTAAATATCTTGTCTCTAACTCTCATGCAGTTATTCTTTTACTACAAAAGAAGAAAAATTTTGACATGTATTGGGTATATAAAAACAGGAGATGTCTGGAATTAATATCTTGCTACTAAAAGCCAACCAGGGAAATAGATGTGATGATGATATTGAACCATCTAAACATAACTTCATACTTGTTTTATATGCTGAATTTAATTTTAATGCATACATTTTAAATTTTTAATTATTTCATAATATGGAACATTGAGCAGGTGCTGTATCTATATCTTTCACCGTTTTTAGCATATCTTCCTTTTTAAAATTCTAATCTTTTTTATTAAAACATTAGGTAATGATATCAGTTGTTTGTTCAGAAAAATAATTAAAATATAATCACAGAGAATTCCTACATACCATTAGATGAAATTCACAGGAGGTAACTGGTTTGGATTGAGTTCCTACCTTAGGTTCTAACAGACTAAATCAAAATGAAGTTACTCATGCTAAAGCTTCACATCACCGAGCTGAAAGCAAGTTGTTTGTTTGCCTTTCCAAAACCTTCGGAGAGGGAATAAGAGCCAAATATTCAAACAGGCCAATTTTAGCTGGCATTAAAAGAAGTCCCCTCTGCTTTAACCCCAAAAGGAAAGTAACTTTGAAATGACTAATCTGTGTTTTGGCTTTTATCCTGCTTTCCTCAACCCTTTTCTGCATTTAAATCCCATCTCTGTGCTCAGTTGATCAGAACACCTTGTTCAAAGGAGGTGCTGCCCTGACTCAGGATCACAATAAAGGCCAATCCAATTATTTAGCTACATTTGTTGTAATTTTTTCTTATGACAGTTCTCCACTTCTTCCATTTTTCTCTACAGTAACCAGATCACATTAGTATGTCACACTGATTACAATTACTGAACTGCTATTGACACATTATTACTGTCTAAAGTCTAAACAGCATCCTAGTTCTTCCTATTGCCTGCTTTCAGTTAAAAGACCTTGGCACTGGCGAGGCATGCTGGTCAGGAATGTATAAGATACTCTTCCATTGAGATTATGCTGATGTTCTTTTTAATCATTATAGAGTAGTTATGGGTTTGGGGGGAAAGATCTCAGAAGTAAAGTGTCCTTTTCATTCCAGTCAATCAAAGATACATGTGCACGATCTGATTTAACACTCTGAATGGGTGCTAACATTATCATCCTGCTGACACAATGTTTGTCAGCTTTTTCTATTGTAAACTTCCTTTTTTCTCTTCTCTCCACACAGCGCTGGTTGGAGAGAGGTTATTATGAGTAGCTCACACCTAAGGAATTGGAGGCTATGCTTCCCATTCCTGAGGCTGCCCCCTATCTATATAAATTTTTTGAGATCACTCTGCACAAGGAGATAGATCTGTTCTCTACCATTTATTGATCGAGCCAATCATTTTCTTTAGACCCTGTCTTCTGACAGAGCAAAGAAATATCTGTGTGTATTCTAACTCATGTTAGCATGCACATATCCACAGACATTTCCATATAGACCATCTTCATCTTTATCAAGATGAACAAGAGTTATTAGTGATGCTCCACCTCTAATACCAACAACAGGTGCTAGTCTAGTCTTCTTTCTTTGCTTATCTGTAAATTTCTACTGTACAAGCTTGATGAATGCTTGTTTAGGTAAGTGGAGTAGAATAGGATGACAGGTGTGACCATGTTGTTGCTGATAGATGATTACTACTTGCTGTGAAAGGAAATAGATTGGTCATTTTCAGTAGGAACTGAACATGTCATACAATTGCTCAAGTGTTTCCACTGGATAAGTCTCCAACAATGAGAAATCTAGTTTCCAATAATCAACCATTCATGTGCTCAGTTGTGCAACCCAAGTGTACATGTACAACCACAAAAATGCTAACCCGTTGGTGGGAGTGTAAATTAGTTCAACCATTGTGGAAGGCAGTGTGGTGATGCCTCAAGGATCTAGAAATAGAAATACCATTTGACCCAGCAATCCCATTACTGGGTATATACTCAAAGGATTGTAAATCATTCTGTTATAAAGACACATGCACATGTATGTTCATTGCAGCACTGTTTACAATAGCAAAGACCTGGAACCAACTCATATGCCCATCAATGATAGACTGGATAGAGAAAATGGAATACTATGCAGCCATAAAAAATAAGTTCATGTCCTTTGCAGGGACATGGATGAAGCTGGAAACCATCAGTCTCATCAAACTGACACAAGAACAGAGAAACCAAACACTACATGTTCTCACTCATAAGTGGGTGTTGAACAATGAGAACACATGGACATAGAAAGGGGAACATCACACACTGGGGTCTGTTGGGGGTTGGGGGAACCAGGAGAGCATTAGCAGGGGGTGGGGGATTGGGGAGGGATAACATTAGCAGAAATATCTAATGCAGGTGATGGGGGATGGAGGTTAACAAACCACCATGGCATGTGTGTACCTATGTAACAGTCCTGCATGATCTGCACATGAACCCCCGAACTTAAAGGATATATAAAAAGAAAGAAGAGCTCACCCACATGCCTGTGAGAAAACTTTTCTAATTAGAGCACAGCTTACCTTACCTTTCATTATATAGACTGCACTTATTATCAAAACTACTTATGTCTATCCCAGTGATGAGTGGGGAGAAATGACCATATGCCACTTTCTCCAGAGGCCTCACATGTATCCCGCACCCTCCTGCACTTCTGCCATTGTGTGAGAACAGTTTCCTCAAGAAGCTGCTGTCCTATTAGCCTGGCCTTAAAATGACACACACAGAGCCAAACTTCTGATGTGACCCACAGAGTGCAAGGTGCGATCCAACTGCCTTCACATCCCTCCCAGGACGAGCTGCCACAGTCACATTGCAGACCCCTGAATCCAATAAGTGCTCGATATTTGTGGTGGTGAGCTTAGGTGCTACAGAGCCCAGCCATCTAATCAAACAGCCACCTAGGTAGCACTTTGAAGTTTCTTTGCTGATGACACATATAATCAACTCACTTTAACTAATGGAGACTATTCTCAATGACGTGGGTGAATCTCAACAAATGAGCTGAAATGCCACAAAAGCAACCATGAGTTTTCTCTAAAGAAAACATTCTCCCTCAAGACTCATCATCAGCTTCTGCATGAGAATCTCCAGTCTGCTGCGCTGATGTGGATTTTAGACTTGCTGATCCCTAGTCATGTTAGCCATATACACATTGGTTCTGCTTCTCTGTGGAGCCCTGACTGAAACAGACTTGGGTACCAACAGTGGTTTTAAAGGAACGGAGTTCTAAGAATAAGTTTTTGGGGTTGGTTTTGGGCTTCAGGATTGATTCTGTTATCTAATTAGATTTAAAGGCAGTAAAGACTCCATTTCCAGTATTATCAAGAACACTGGTAGTCCATGGCACAGAGAGCAATAAAGATACACACACTATCACCGTTGAATACTCCTACCCAAGTATTTACAAGGCAGAGTTCTGAGTGGCCAAGCATTGGATGACTTAGAACAGCTCTGACATAGAATGAGTGTAATGAGATTGATTGGCTGTTTGCTCTTAACTGTGCTACAGAAACTAGAGGGAAAAGGGATGAACCTAGGATTTCAAAACCAGCCTACACTGTGCATATATGACCTGAAAACCTGTACTCCTCTTCCAGATTATACCCTTATCTCCTATAGCCACCAACCTGCTATTTCTGAACACTAAGCCCAGAGTCTCATCCTGCTAGTCACTGAATCACATTACAAGTCAAAACCCCAGACTAGCAGAGTTTCTTCTGTTGAAGACAAGCATTGACTGGGAATAAGCGGGCCCTGAATATTAGAACAAAGACGTATATGAAGA